TCGCCGACAGTTTCTCGTCGTCCTCGAAATCTCCAAGAGCATCTTCTGTGTAGAGATCTTTCAGATCCTTAATGTTCTCAAGAACCTTCTGGTGCTTCGCATCTTTGTCCTTCCCTTGAAGATACATTGATGCCCACATGAACTTGAACTCTTCTCCTAGCTGCAAATGTGGTTTACCATAATGAATTGGACCAAATGACACAAACCTGGGAAAGTAATACTTTCCAAAGTTCTTTCGATTTCTCTGATGATGTAGGACCCTTTGTATCTTGGGCCGTGGAGTTTGATGATGATGATCATAACCTCCCTCTCCATATTTTCCAGTTTCCGCATTTCTTCATTCAGTTTGTTGAACATATCGTTTGTGGGATTTGCCATCGTTCATTAATGTTGTTTTGGTTAGCCTGATTTCTTCATTTATATAATATTGAAGTTTGGTAAAATCTGTTCAATGAAGAAGCTTTACAAAATGGATTGATATGGAATAAACCTTAGATAAGGAACACAGGATTTTCCAGCTTTGTTAATATTTCAAGTTTGGAACTATGCTCACTTTTACTAGAAAAAGTGATATTTTCTTTTTTACAATTAACCATTACTCTTACTCCATATTCTATCTTCCTGCACCTTTGCTTGGAATTGGAAAATGGTATATATGTAGGAGACAAGCTTGAAATTAAATATTATATTACTTTGAACAACCATAAGAAATTCACATATTCGACCTGCTTTATTGCCACCTATACTCGTGTGCTAGCGCTTCCATTCAATTTTAATCGAATTTGGATTCTCTCCGGCCGTTTTCTTTCCCTTCCACTTCAACTCCACTTTCCTTCTCAACCACTATTAATCATTAGAATGAAATTTGTGTGATCCAAATTTAATATTATATTAAATGACTTTTAAAATATTCTTCATTGCAGTTTTAAATTGTCCTGGTTAAAATTTAGTAATTTAAGTTCTTTATTTTTATAATTTAACACATTATTAATAATTTTTAAAATATTGAATCTAAACAGGTCAAATTTCAATCTAATGCGGTTCAGACGGAAAATAGAGGGAAAAAAATAAATGGGAGAGAACTCAAATCCACTTCAATTTTGTCACTTTAATTCTTTAAATATCACATATTTTTACAATTAATGTTTCATCCCCCTCCCTCTACTAAAGTAAAAAGGTCTACATGCATGAAATTGTAATATCACCTCTGATTCTTAATATGAGATTTAATTTGTATTTTAAAATCTAGTTTGAATTACACACTAAATCTTATATTAATTAAGAATAGGAAGTGGTACTAATCATTTTCTTTTACTTATGCATAGCAAACTTGACATTCACTAAGAAATATTAATGATAAATTGTTTTGGACCCTTTGGGCTTTTCTTCGTTGAGGTAGACCCACCAAGCCTTATTATAATATCCTCCTCCAGGTTGCCGAATTCCTTGTGGGCTTAAAGCAATCATTTTAAAAGAAGGACGTTGTAAGACCAATACTGTGCGGGTCTTTTACCAAAAAAAAAATTGAGTTAAAAAATTTTAGCCAACCCCCTGGGCAACTTAATTTCCAACAGCCACCATAAGACTCTGGAACTTATTTCATATCATTTGACAATTTTTTTTTTCTCTTCATTGAATTTCAGGTGAAGTTGTAAATTCTCATATACTTGCTAATCGTTTAATTTATGTTATAAATATCCTTATTTCAATTGTTCATGATATTTAATTTTTCTCTCTACAGAATCTCAAATGAAATTGTAAATTCCTATATACCTCTTGCAAATTGCTTAATTTGTGTTGTAAACCATTTTATTTCAATTGTTCACAACATTTAGTTTTTGTCTTTATAGAACTTTAAATGGAGTTGTAAATTCTTGTATATCTCTTGCAAATCACTTTATTTTAGTTGTGTGTTCAGACTTAAGCACTTGCATTTGTTTTGTTGTGTATATATATATTTGCATTATATTATTAAATAGATTGGATAGCTTGATGATTATAACTTTTTTTTGATGTATTAAGAGGTTATCCACCTTTTTTTTTTGAAAAAAAAAATTCTGCGGCAGCAGGACCATCAGAGCTCCAAGAAGGTTGATCTTTTTTTTAAAAAAAAAAATGCAAGGGCATAATTATATTTTTACTCATAACATTTAATTTATTTTGGTCTGTCAAAGGGATAGAATGAAGTTTTAAAATCTTTTGGGAGCTGTTAGAAACTAAGTTGCTTTAGAGGAGATTGACTGAAAGTTTCCCAAAAAAACTATTAGGGACATCAAGCTGAAAATTATTTTTCAATTTTTCCCAAAGTATGTCTAAAATATTTGGGGGAAAAAAGGGAAAGAAATTGTGGGTAACTTGTAGTCTGGTTGTAGTCCATATGCTTTTAACGAGTTTTAGTTTTGGTCTTTACATTTAATGACATTAATTCAAACAAAATCCTTAGAAAACCAAAAGGATAAAAACTATGATTTGAAACTACATAATCAAAATTAAAATTCAATCAAATTGTAAGCGTAAGTAATGATATTAATCCTAAAATCAATTATTAGACCATCAACCATATTTTCTCCATATTCTTTGAGTGCATTTAGATTAGTGTTGAGTAACATAGACTTTATAAAATTTATTTATAAACATAATTAATTTACTAAAGTGTTTGGCTAAATTTTTTAGGAAAGTAGTGAATGAAAAAGCAGGTAATAGTAGCTCATGGAATAATCATGATTTTTTTGGGTTCATATTTGATATGGTCATGTATAGTAATACGAGGATATATTTGGTAAATTATGAGATGCTCATAACTTCGGTTTATAATTATTTTGGCATGTGTATAACAATTATTTGTATATTTTGCTAAATTTTTTTTAAAAAAAGATATTTAAATAATCTAAATTTTTATTTGGGTCATTAAATTTGTCAAAACCCCAATTAGGTACATAACCCAAATTTTTTTTTAAATTTTATAAATGACTATAACGCCCTTTTTATTATCAAGGGTAAATATAAATTTTAGTCTCTCAAGGTTGCCTGTATTTTGGTTTTAGCCTCTCAAATTTTAAACCATAAGTTTTGGTCACTCAAGTTTCTTTTTATTTAAAATACTAAAATAGTGATCCCTATAATCCAATAAGAAATTAGACCATTTTGCCTTTAGAGTGACCAAAACCTATGATTTGAAATTTGAGGGACCAAAATCAAAATGAAGGTAAATTTAAAGGACCAAAGATTATATTAATCCCATTATAAATACAGAGAGATGTTGATTTTCTATCAATTTTGCGTTGTGTAAGAGCTTTTAACAAAGAAAACTTGGCATTTACTAGCACAAAATTGTAATATCAATCAAGGAGGCAACAAAGAGTTAATTTTTCTATCAAATCTTCCTTTCTTGATCTTAATAGTTTCATATGCTATCTTGATTTCTTCATTTTTCTTAATTTAACTCCAGTTCTTAATATAAGAGCTAGTTTGATTTTTAATTTGATTTTAAATATAAGACCCCAATCTATTTTATCTATCATATTTATTTATTTTTTCTAAAGTAGTTCTTGTAGTAGTTATACATATTAAATGTTTCATCGAATAACACTTGATTAGCAAGAGTACTTTAGAGAAAATAATACTTATTTATTATAAATAACTAATTTAACTAATTTTTTAATCAATTTAAATTAGTTAACTAGTTTTTATATTAATGACCAGAGGTAGTAATAAGAGACAGAATCACTATTCTAAATCAAGAAGACTTATTATTGTGAGACATGCAATAAAGTTGGTCACACAATAAATATATGCAAAAATCCAAACTGGTATTGGAATTATTTGTACAAGAAGATGAATATTTTGAATGGTGATTTTTTTTGGTTTTATATGGAATTAGAAAACAATCATGAATTGCAAGTTGTTTGTGTTAACTATGTTATTGAAGTTATTAATTTTTAAGGTTTTGCATTGTGATCAAATTTTATTTAAAGACTTAATGCAAGTATGTTATAAGGACATAAAGTTATTAATTCAGAATTAAAACGTGTTAATTATGGAGATATAAAACTGTTAATTTAGAACTAAAACTCGTTAACGGTGTAATTGAATTTGTTAATTTATAAGGTTGTATTATAATTAAGTTTTATTCAAGGATTCAATATAAGCGTATTACAGAGATATAAAATTGTCAAATGAAACATGCTAATTTGGAATTCTCTTTCCATTTCTAATAAAACAGACATTAGAGTCATTTTAGAAAATTTTAAAATTTCTCTTTAGATCATATGATTTGATTAGGAATTTGACAAATCTAATAATCTACATAAGAATTTAAATTATTTAATTTTCTTAAGGGATTCTTCCTATCAATCAATCAATCAATTATATTCTTGAAAATTTGTAATACTCGGTTCGTTTTAAAAATGGGTCGGGTATAATATGAAGACATCTGAATATATTTAATTGATAAGATTTAAATAATATATTGATTGGGATTTATATATATTGAATTAAATGAAGAGTATCATTATTAAATGGGATTTCAATTTGAGAGTCAAATGAAGGAATTAATAACTAATTTTGAGTTTAAATAATATTTTAATTGGGATTTGAATATATTAAATTAAATAAAAAACATCATAATTAAATAATACATCAATTGGGGGCTTAAATAGAGAAATAAATAATTTTAAATTTTTATATGGTCTTCTTAATTTTTAAATCTCTAATTCAAATCTTATTTGAATGAATAAAAAAAATTACATACCTTAGATAATACAATTTATTATTATTTAAAATTTAATTAAATATTTTAACCGTACATCACGAGAAAAAAATCTCTAGTTTATATATATATCTCTAAAATTTAACTTTTGTTACGAATATTTATTTCTGAAATAGCTCTCACTAATAATAATATTCCTGTTTTGACCAAAAAGAAAATTCCTCTGCTGGTACTGTTTCAGGGCATGCCCTTGCATTGTATTGTGCGGCGTAAGTGATATGGGAAGTTTAAAATCATCTGCAGATTTGCAGATGTTGTCTGTGCTTTCGCTCATGGGAATCCAATCCCATTTTTGGCTTCCGCAGCTTAGGGTTTAAGATGTTTTGTCTCTCCCATCAAGTATTTTCTTTTACTATCCAGCACAGCATTAAGCTATTAGAGCGCCAAAACTCTTGCACAGTGCTGAGCAATTCTTGAACTCCAGGTAGAAGCTGGAAATAAACGTTATTTTCTTTTTCTTATTCACTTTCTTGAAGTTGTTGTGGGTTTGAACACTAATTCGTTTCTGCACGGGTTTGTGACTTGAATCAAATTCGGCTTGGTTTTCTGCCTCTCCAACTCCCTTCCAGTTTTTGGCGGGAAACTTGCAAGGAAGTGAGAGAAACAGAGAAAATCAGGCGATGGGGAAAGACGAGGAGGAGATGAGGGGAGAGATAGAGGAGAGACTGATAAATGAGGAGTACAAAATCTGGAAGAAGAATACGCCTTTTTTGTACGATTTGGTGATAACCCATGCCCTAGAATGGCCTTCCCTTACTGTGGAGTGGCTTCCTGATCGAGATGAACCTCCGGGGAGGGATTACTCGGTCCAGAAGATGATTCTGGGCACACATACTTCGGAGAACGAACCCAATTACTTAATGCTTGCCCAAGTGCAGCTTCCTTTGGAGGATGCCGAGAATGATGCGCGCCATTATGATGACGATCGCGCTGACGTAGGCGGATTCGGGTGTGCTAATGGCAAAGTAAGGAGCCAATCTATTTGCGATACTTGTACTTTATTGGTCGATCTCCATTAAGATGGTGATCATGTTAACTCGTGATAACGTGCATGTTCTATTAATGTTTTGTCTAAAGAGATGTTACTTTTTCATAGGTACAAATAATCCAGCAAATAAATCATGACGGAGAGGTTAACAGGGCTCGTTATATGCCTCAAAACCCCTTTATCATTGCCACCAAGACAGTTAGTGCTGAGGTTTATGTATTTGACTATAGCAAGCATCTATCTAAGCCCCCTTTGGATGGTGCCTGTAATCCTGATTTAAGGCTAAGAGGTCACAATACTGAAGGATATGGTTTATCATGGAGTAAATTCAAGCAGGGTCACTTGCTTAGTGGTTCTGATGATGCTCAGATATGCTTGTGGGATATTAATGCGACTCCTAAAAATAAAACCCTGGAGGCTATGCAGATTTTTAAGGTTTGTTTTTCTTTTTGATCCTGGATTAAAGTGTTTACTCATTATATTTAAGCTTTACTTTCATAGTTGTCTGTGGTTTTTTACTTTTTCCGTCAAGTGGAATCATTTTTCTTTTTGGATGCGTTTTTCTGCGTGATGGTTGTGCTAGTAGTTTCAGGTGTACTACAAAAAACCCTCATTCCTTGATGGGATTTCATGTGAGGGCCTGAGAGGATATGTTAGTGCTAAAAGTGATTTTATTATAGATCTTTACCTAATAGCTTAAAATTTGTCGTTAAAATAATCTTTAGCAGCTTAAAGCTATCGTCACTCCAACTTGCAACTAACAACAGTGGACATCTTATATGTTGCTAAAAGAGATCGGTTTTGAAATACTGGTTTGGGACTTTTGGAGCATGGGATATTTGGAGGGAGAGTCAACTGTCAAAATGTCAAAAAACTTTCTTTGAGTAAGGAGGAGTTGGAATGGGTATCAGGCTTGGGTGTTACAGATGATATGCTACTAACGTTTCGGAAGTTGATGGTTTTATTTGTAGTATAGGACGGGTCAACAGGGTCTTTAGTTGTCTTAACTAGACTTGTAACCTGGTCTAAAAATTATGAGTTCCCCTCCCCCCCCCCCCGGGCGGGCGGATTAAATATATGTCTTGTACTTGGTGTAACCCAGACCCTATTTATCAGACTCTGGACGTTTGTACATGCCAAAATGCAAAATACGCTATATGGTTGGATTTGCTTAATGCATTATGTATCATGGTCTCCCTTTTTTCCTTAACTTAAATGCTCTTTACTTCACTCATGCAAGTGACCTTTTAGCACTTCTGGTCCCAAGGAGCTACCCAACCCTCCGTGAAGGGGTGTGCCTTTGTTACTATCTTTTCCCAACCAATTCAAATGTTGACATGTGAGTGTTTTTATTCCTCACCAACAAGATACGACTTTGCCATCTTGATGGGGGATGAAAAATACAATTTTGACTGGGACTGGGGTATCTGATTTTATATTGTGTATATATACAGGATATATAATTATATATATGTAGCGGGGGTTCTAAGCCACTCAATCATGGAAGACGCATTTGATGTGTTCTTTGACAGGGCTTATGGAAGAGCTAACTTGAACCTAAATGTCTAAAAATAGTTGCTAACTGAATAGATTAGTTTATGCTACTTCCATTTATATGCCTTCATTTGTCACAGAAAAGAGTCAGGGGCATATTAATATCGTACTAGAGATTTTCCTTGTACTGTACTTAAACCTTCTGTGAACATAAATCATAAGTAAATCATTTCCCTTACTCTCTAATTGTACTGCACAATCTATCTTATAAACTCAGTGGCTTATTGATTTGTAACAGGTTCATGAAGGTGTTGTGGAGGATGTCGCATGGCATTTGAGGCATGAATACTTATTTGGTTCTGTTGGTGATGATCAATACTTGCTTATATGGGATCTTAGGACTCCATCAATCAGCAAGCCTGTCCAATCTGTAGTTGCTCATCAAAGTGAGGTGCATGTTAAGGACTTTTTTTAAATGCTTTGTCAGATTTGTGGTTTTTTATAAGTATTTCAGACCAAGATATTTGTGTTCACTTTTCATATGCACTCTTTTTATGTTAGGATAATTTTATGGCTTCCTGGGAATGAAGTTACTTAAGTGAAAATCAATGTGAAAAATCAAGAAATGTTTTTGAAATCAGCATAGTCTGTGTTTATATGACTATTTAGATGGATTGATACTTGGCAGTGGCTGTTGAAATAACTGATCCTTTGGTAGTGTACAATTGTTTAGTATGACCAAATGTGGGAGAGGAATAGGAAAACAACTTATCAAACCCAAAAGATAATTCAGTTTATGTTGCATAATTTGGTCAAGATTTACTTATGGCATATATAGTTCTTACATTCATGTATGCTTAAGAGAGTATCATCCAGTATATCATTCATCTTACCAGTTAAGAACATCTCATTTTAATTTCTCTTAGCTTGTGCATTTCTTAATATCTTACCAACAGTTTTTGTTAAAATTGAGCCTTTTTTGTCCCACAGAAAACCTGAGAGAAATTACAGTATTATACCTAAAAGTGCAATATGGTTTTTTGTTTTTTTTTGTTTTTGTTTTTAAATTACCATTATTGACGATTTGCATGTGATTCATGAACTTAACTGCATTGTGTAACAAAACTCCTGAATAGTTTACCATTACTCTGTCTCTTATCTGATAGTTGGCTTGCTGGAATTGAAGTCAGTATTATGACATTGTTGACATGATGAGCCAAATAATTGGTTCTCGTATGCATGATTTTCTAGCCAATAACCATTGAAAGATGACCTGGCCATTCTTCAGGCATACATTGTGTTTTTTCACTTTGATGGCCTTTTCATGATTAGGGTGATGAAAATTTCCTCTAAGTTTCATTTTTTATACAACTGGGCAACTTTCTAACATCTTTTATATGTGAGACTTGCTGATATAACTTTTTATGTGGAATTTCTTACTAGGTCAACTGCTTGGCTTTTAATCCATTCAACCAATGGGTTGTTGCTACTGGTTCTACTGATAAAACTGTGAAGTTGTTTGATCTACGCAAGATTAATACTGCTCTTCACACCTTTGATTGTCACAAGTAACAATCCTCCATGGCGAAGTTTTAATTTTCTTCTAGTGTTTTTATGCTACTTTTACCTGAAAACTTATTCTTGTTTACAACAGGGAGGAGGTTTTCCAGGTGGGCTGGAATCCAAAGAATGAAACTATCTTAGCTTCTTGTTGTCTTGGCAGGAGACTCATGGTGTGGGATCTTAGCAGGTATTGTCTAATGGAATCACCGTCTGAAGTGTTTGTCATTAAGTAATGTGACCTTAGTGGATTGCGTGTGTCTACTTGTTTACATATTATTTTACTGATTTATCATTTCTTAATGCATTGTATTGCGTTCATGTGTGCATTTATAGTTTAACAGTATGACAAGTGGGGAAGATATCAACTAAGGAGGAAAAAGGGAACTAGCTGGAAGTCCTAAATTTTTAGTGAACATAAAGGAGTCTTCTGTGATCTTACAAATCTTTTTATCACTCACAAAATTTCCAAGTCTAAGGAGTGAAACAACAGTAAATTTTAGCTGTCCCCATTTTTTAGAGGACCTGCAGTTAACGTTTGACACTTTTGACTTGTCCTTGTCAATAATTATTCTAAGGATCGACATGAATAGGTGTAACTATTTTAATTTCAAACACGTTACAAAATGGGGATCTGACCCAACTCACCAAACGAAGTTCTAGAGCTTTGGTGAGACTCTGGTTCAAATTTTGAACTCTAATCCATTGGCGCGCTTACGCTGGGGGAATGCAGTATGCGGATCACCTAGGGTGTGGCTCCTCAATTGCGTGTCAACTGTTAAATTTTCCTCTGTTGGATTAACGAAGTTCTAGAGCTGTATAAGCAATATTTGGAGCCATTTTGTATGATAATAAGCATCAAATCCAATAAGAATATCTTTGGTTGGAAGATCACTTGGATGGTGGAAGCCTGGAAGGTAAAGTGAGAACAAAGCAGTGACATATTTCAATACATCAATGTGATGCATCAACTATCGCAGTGGACCTTCATCCCTAAGAAGTGTAATTGATTTTTCAGAGAACCCAGGCTGGGTTAACTCTAAATTTTGTACAAAGATAATCTATTGCATTTGTAGAAATTCAAGATTCAATAATTCTCAAACTTATTTTATTTAATGAAAGGAATGTTACAGTTATAGACAATACAAGAGAAAAATGGCCTCTTATTCCAACTAAAACACGAAACTTTAAAAGTGAGATAATATATCATCATATAATGAGACTGGAACTCCGTGGAAGGGTGCTGTGCACGCATTTCTATGATGCAGTTGGTTAATCTGGAATGACCACGTCTGATATGGCATCTTTTTGACTTTAGATATGTTATGGGACTCTGGTAGTTTGTTTAGGGCTTCTTTTCCAGTCTAATGCTTGTAGATGCAGTGATTAGACAAGCTTTGTAGCATTTTTGTGGATTGATTTTCTGACCAAAATGGATTATCCAAAAATAATGTTGCAATTTGCTGATTGCTGGAGCTAGAATTTTTTCTCTCTCTCTGTATCTGAGTATTCTCATTGAATCTGTAGGATTGACGAAGAGCAGACACCAGAAGATGCTGAGGATGGTCCACCAGAATTGCTTTTTATTCATGGTGGGCATACAAGTAAAATATCTGACTTCTCATGGAACCCATGTGAGGATTGGGTTATTGCCAGTGTTGCCGAAGACAATATACTTCAAATATGGCAAATGGCAGAGAACATATATCATGATGAAGATGATCTGCCTGAAGAATCAACGAAGGCTCCTTAGTATTATTTCCATTGTTCTCTAACATATTAAAAGCTTGGGTGATAGTATTCTGCACTTCTCTCCAATTCACCTAGGCAGCTGAAGTTGGTCTCTTGTGGTGTGATTCCGGTTTCCAAATTTGTCTATGCTGGAAATACGTAATAACTGGTTAAATATTAGTTTTTAGTGCAGACGTGTAAAATGCCATCCAAAAGCTCTGTTGAACATTTTGCGATGTGAATGTAATTAATACAAGGCTTAGATCTTCCGAAAGTTATGAAATTTGCAGTAAATCTCCAAGCGCATCTTCTGTGTCGAGATCTTTCATATCTTTAATTTTTTCAAGAATCTTATGGTGTTTCGCATCTTTGTCCTTTCCTTGAATATACACTGATGTTCACATGTGCTTGAACTGTTCTCCTGGCTGTAATTGTGGTTCACCATAATGAATTGGACCGAATGACACAAACCTGGGGAAGTAATACTCCACAAAATTCTTTCGATCTCTCTGATGATATGGGACCCTTTTTTTATCTGGGGACGTGAAGTTTGATGACGACGACGACGATCATAATCATCCCTCTACATAATTTCCTGTTTCTGGCTTCTGCATAGCTTCATTCAGTTTATTAAACATCTCATTTGTGGGATTTGCCATTGTTTAGTACTATTGTTTTGGTTTGTCTGAATTCATTTATACATTATTGAAGTTTGGTAAAAACTGTTCACTGAAGCCTTACAAAATGAATTGATTTGCCATTGTTTAGTACAATTGTTTTGGTTTGTCTGAATTCATTTATACATTATTGAAGTTTGGTAAAAACTGTTCACTGAAGCCTTACAAAATGAATTGATATGGGATAAACCTTAGATAAGGAACACAGGATTTTCGAGCTTTATTAATATTTCAAGTTTGGAACTATGCTCATTACTACTAAAAAATGTTTTTTTTTTTTTTTTAAATTAACCATTACTCTTACTGCATGTTCTAGCTTCCGGCAACTTTGCTTGGAATTGGAAAATGATATATGTTTAGAAGGAGACAAGCTTCACCTTAAATATTATATTACTTTGAAAAACAGTAAGAAATTCTCCACCTGCTTTATTGCAGCCCATACGGGCGCGTCCATTCAGTTTTAATCGAATTTGGATTCTCCCGGTTTTCTTTTCCTTCCACTTTAACAATAATTTCCTTCTTTTTTTTTTTTACCAGAAAACAATAATTTCCTTCTCAATAATTATTAATCATTAGAATGAAATTTGTGTGATCCAAATTTCATATTATATTAAATAATTTTTTTAAAATGTTTTTCATTGCAATTTTAAATTGTCCTAGCTAAAATTTAATAGTTTGAATTTATTCATTTTTTTGTTTGAGCTTAGAGTATTCACTGCCAGTAGCAATAACTAATTTCCTCATATCATAAACTTTCCAAATGGACTTTAGTGTTGGCCAATAGACTCTCTTTATATAACCCAGCTAAATGTCAATTGTATTAAGCCTCATGGTTAATAGTTTGAATTTAATTATTTTAATAATTTAATATTTTATTAATAATTTTTAAAATATTAAATCTAAACTGTTTAAATTTTAATTTAACAATTGAAATGGAAAGGGGAGAGAGTGGAAGGAAAGTAGACAGAACTCAAATCCACCTCAATTCTTGTCATGGCAAAAAAAAAAAAAAAAAATCTGATAAGTGTGCAGTTACCTGGTTTTACCTTTGAAACAGACTCTAGACAATCACAATTAATATTAATTAATTTAATTTTAATTAATTAATCCAACTTTTATTCGGCTTTATAAAATTGTTCAGCCCATGTCAGATTTTGCGTATGTCCGAGGAAACAAACTCCAACCCATCTCTCTAGCATTAGGAGGGTTGGGATCTGCATTGTCATTGGACTATTGGCATAACTCATTTTAACATGTTTCATTTGCGACACCAAGCAATGTTTGGGATTGAGTCATATCACCAAGATGGGATGAAACAATGTCATCTCTTTCATGGTATTGGAAAATCATTTATGAGATTGAACATTATTTTTAGCAAATTATTCCCATAATATTTCAGAAACTCTTATTTTTATTTATCATAGGGGTATATGAGTTTTTGTGTAACTTATGACTGATTATAAAATAAAATTAATATATTACCTCTGGTCCTAATTATAAGACTTGGTTTGTAGTCTACAAACAAGATCTTATAATTAGGACTAGAGCTAGTAATCATTTTCTTCATATATTACCTTATATCAAAAGTAATTTTGAAGCCCCATCCCCATTCTCACTCTCATTCTCAATATCATTTTCAATCTCAATCTCAATTCATTAAAATCTAGTGCTGCCTACCAAACATGGTCTATAACAATTTGAGTATGCTTCAAATACCGCAAACAAAAATATAACATGTAGCAAAGAAAAATGCCAGAAGAAAAGAAAGCATTTCACCATAAAATGTTTTAGAGGAGCATCTTGAGCATGAAGCACATGGGCTGCTCTAGACTCTTACAGCTTGAACCTCAAATGTTTTTTTTTTTTGTTGAAAAAAATCAACAACTCAGAAAGCCATTAGAAATTAATTCGAATGATTTTCCACATGAATCATCTTATTATCATCGACCACCTTAGAAGAAGAGGGTAGCCATAAGCATTAGGCTTGAACTAAGCTAGCAAGAATATTAGCATGCTCTATAGTTTTCCAGTGAGTAAAATTATAGTGATATATTAGGCTCATTTAATAAGAAGCAAAATTCATAACTCAAAATATTTAAAGACAAATTTAGGAAGGATGATATATGCATACAAAAGATGAAAGAAGATAATGATGAAGATAAATTAAAAAGTACGCAAGCATGTAAAGGCCACAAAATATGATACAACTATATACCTATTTTGCTGCAACTTGATATTTGGTTATTGAACCATTTACCCAAGCAAACATTCTTATCTAACATATAAAATCAAAATAAACTTTTGAACAAGAGGGCACCCAATGAGATATGTAAAATTTTTCTTTAATCATTTGAAAATTTTATTTTATGTATTTGAATTGTTTTGAATTTTTTATATTCATTTTTTTTTTCTTATTATTGTGTAGAGGAATAATTCTTGGTGTATTCTAAATGCAAAATACAAAAATAATTCATGAAAATTTAGGTCTATTGAATATTCTTATAAAGAAATTAGATGCGACATATGTTGTCAAAATCTGTGATTTTAGCAAGTCGTTAAAGACACTCTGAACTAAATGAGCTTGATAGAGCTGATGTCAAGAAACATAGTTGTAAGTAGAATAACAATAATTTATTTTTTAAAAAAATATTTATATTAACTAATAGCTAAAACGTTTTCATGATATAAATAGTTGTATAAAGAAGGGAAAGGGAAACTATACGTATCAAGCTTATAAGTAATTTAATAAATTAACGCTAGGTTCTACATTTCGTACCTGTACTTGAATGGAGATGGAGTTTTTATAAGATAAAATTTTACTTTTGATATATTTAAACATAACAAATGTTTTGAAATGAAGATGCATACTAACAAATACTCTAAATTAATTTTTTTTATTTTGGATATATTACGCATATTCAAGATTAACTTATTGGGTGTATCCAATCCTCTCGGGTACAAGAATATCAAAACTTGACTCTGATACTATTTTTTAGGCCTTCTGATACCGTTTAATGAGCTCAAGCTTTATTTTTCAAGTTTTTAAATTATATTTTCTGGGCCTAAAACAAATTCAGCAACATAAAATAATAAGATGTTTGTACAATGGTAACCCAAAAAATATAATGAAACCTCTGCATGTAACATTTAATATTATAAAGGTTGAAAATTTTAAGCTTCTAAAACTACTTAAAAGTAACTATCTATATTTGATATGGGAAGTTGATAAAAGACATCGAAGCAAAATCTACATTCTAATATATTTAAAGGCAAATTAATGAAGGATAATATATGCATAAAGAAGATGAAAGAAGATAATAAAGATGGTGAATTAAAAAGTATAAATGCAAGTGAAGACCAACAAATTATTATATAACTGTATGCCTATATTGCTTTAACTTAGTATTTGGTCATTGAACTATTTATCCAAATATTACAAGCATTCCTGTTAACTAAAAAAATCAAAGTAAACTTTTGAGTAAGAAAGATTACCATACAAATTTTTTAAAAAATTGATAAGATATGTAAAATTTTTCTTTGATTATTTGAAAGTTTTATTTTACGTGTTTTTATTTAATTTGAATTATTAATATTTTCTTTTTTCTTTCTCATTTTGTAGAAGAATAATTCTTGATGTATTCCAAATACAAAACTTAAACATAATTCATAGAATATTACTATAATGAAATTAGATGGTAAAACTTTTGTTATCAAAATATGCGATTTTAACAAGTCGTTAAGTTACTATAAATCAAATCAGTTTAATAGAGTAATTTTTTTTTACACATTTAGTTATATTGACTAATAACTAAAATGTTTTCATAATATAAATAGTTGTACAAAGAAGAAAAATGAAAGACTATATGTGACAAATTCCTGAACAATTTAATAAAATAGCACTAAGTTTTATATCCTATACCTATACTAGCATGGACATGAAGTTTTTATAAGATAAAGTTTTATTCTTGATATTTTAAACACAAAAAGTGTTACCATGTCAGGATACATGCCAACAAACACTCAAAATTAAATATCTTTTATTTTGGGTATATTAAGCATAACTCAAAATTAACTTATTGGGTGCACACAATCCTATAGGATATGAGCTATCAAAATTTGATTCTAATACTATTTGTTAGGCCTTCTGATACCATTTAATGAGCTTATATTTTATTTTTAAAGTTCTCAACTTATATTTTAGGTCTGAAGTAAACTTAATAACATAAAATAGTAAGATTTTTATATAATGGTAACCCAAGAAATCTCCCCATGTAACATTTTTTTTTACCAGCACTCCACATGTAACATTTAATATTGTAAAGGTTGGAAGTTTTAATTTTTTAGAACTCTTTGTAAGTACCATTCCTTATTTGATTTAGAAATTAAAGTTGATAAAAGATATCGAAGCAAAATCTACATCATAATATATTTAAAGAAAAATTAAAGGAGGATGATATATGAATAAAGAAGATGAAACAAGATAATAATAATGATGAACTAAAAAGTATAAGAGCATATAAAAACCAGTAGAATATCACATAACTTTATGCCTATTTTGTTACAATTCGTTATTGCTTTACGGTAGTTTGACTATTAGAGACTTGTAATTGAATTTCTTAAATCTAAATGACAAGAAAATTGTTTTACTTATAAGTCCTGCTGTCCAGATACGAGGGTATACCTAAGCATATTTTAACTAGCATTGATTACTAATATAGCAATATTTTTTAGTATTCGATGAATATATCACATTCCCATACATGACTAGCACCCTGCTTCTGTCCTGTGAATGAACTTCTTTTTTTTTTGGAATGTGGTCTCTCTATTACTAACATGATATACATAAAATACTACATATGAATGTGTCAAAAGAGATAAAGATATACTTTTAGGACAGATAGAGAAGGTATTTTTTGGTCTTATTTATAGGGCACTGAGAGAAATTTTTTGTATGGATGTATAATATTACCCCTCATTTATTATTGTGTTGACTTTGTTTATATAAGGTATAATATATATTAAATAAGGATAAAGTTGGAAAATCATTAAATTTTAAATGAGAGTTAATAAAGTTTTAGGTTTTTCTTGATCTGTGTGAAATATGCTAGAAATGCTTATAAATAGGACCAGAGGAGTATTTACTTTAAGAGAATGTTTATAATTGATATTTGCATAAATCAAATATATGTTAGTTTTGTTTTGTGAGTATCCTAGAGTAGTTCACCTTAAGAAAGAAAAAAGTGATGAATAAATTGCCAAAAAATCAAGTTATAGAATAGTGAAAGCCTTACAAACTTCTGGAGTACTACACCAGCAATTGCATGCCAAGAGCTCTAACTTCACTGGTTTGGCATTTGAAGCGTCCCTCACAATATGTACATCTTAAAAAGTGATGCATTAATTGCTGAATTATATTGCTCATACACAAAACTATTGCAAATATCATGGAAGGCCCTCTTTTCTTTTTTATAACACTCATTATTATATCAACTACAAGAGAAATTCCTGAAGATGATGATAGATGATAATTATGACTCCCAGACTAATAAAAACTATGACTCCAAGATAAACTCCTAATATTTTGAGTAATAAGCATGATTATGATGCACATAAAAAATTTTCAAACATGAATGCAACTCATTTAAAGAATGAAAAATATTTGTACAAATATTCTAAGACCCCAACACACAACTAACAGACGGGAAAAGGTAGGACTTTGCTGCTACAATACACTAAACAACATGGATGGCACTAAATGACATTGATATTGAAGAAGTTGATTTACAGTTTCAAATAGGGGGCAAACCACCTTAACATTACTCAAACATGGCAAAAAAACAAAAGAATTGGATCCACTTGCTAAGGTGTGGAATTTTCAGTGTTAAGGTCTCCTGGATTGGAGAGAGAAGTTTCATCATTAATGGTGCACCTTGTCATTGGTATGACGTTGGTTTTTCAAGGGTATTACCATGTTATATTTGCTCCCAAAAAACAAAAAAAGCAGTTTGGAAGCATATTTTGTTTAATTTAAATATTTTTATGCTAATCTTTTACCGGTGAGATTGTTTTAGAAAGAATGTCATACACATTCTTTTAGGGATAATCAACTGACACTGATGTCAACTAAATTAAAATCATCCATAAATCAATGAATAAGTAAATGTTGGATAGATGAGTTTTCCAATAAAATTGCCATTCAATGGGAAACTATAAACTATTTTATTACAAATTTATTGTTCTCTAATTTTTCTAGAATTTGGCATGTAAGATTTAGGTGATAATTAATTCAACTATTCAATCAAAGAAAACCAATTCCAATCCGCCAAAATATTTGGGGTTAATATAAATTTTGGTTTTTGAAATTTAAACATATTTTGGTTTTGGTCTCTTAAATTTCAAACTCACGGTTTTACTCCCTAAAATTTAGTCCTTTTTAAAACGTTAGCCTTTTGAGGTGTAACGGTGTTAAAATATATTGAAGTGTTGTAAATGTCTCAAAAGTAGTGTTGTGGATTTACCGTATAACGCCAAACTGGATCTTATATAGATAAGAGGGGGAAAAAAAAAGAAGAGAAGAAATTTGTATAAAAAATAGGGGAAAAAACAGGTCCTCAAAATGCAACTCAAAAGACAATTATACATGAAGGAATGAGTTATCAAACTACAATATAGTGGATAGCTTCTGAAACAAACAAGAAAGAAAAAACCGTTGGAGGTGGAGGAGGGACTAAAAAGCAACATTTTGAAAACCTATTCTTTTTTATTCCCCCCTTATGTCATCCACATAAGATTCAGCTAAATACCATTTAGTAATTCCATATCACTACTTTAATACCATTTGACACTTTAATAGATTTTAGCACTACCATACCTTCAGGAATTAACATTTTAACATGAACCAAATTTCAAGAACTAAAATTACGAGGTTTAAAATTTGAAAAACCAAAACTAAAATAAATCCAAATGTCAGAAAGCAAAACATATGTTAACCCCAAATATTTGTGTATAAATGCTTCAATTCTTACAATAGTGTTAACCGATCCCTCTCTTTGTGTCCAGAGCCGATAATATACACTTCTCTCAACTCATGTAATGCACATCCTTCCACTTTAACTAACGAAAATGCCTAAATATGTCGTTTGCATGCAGTATCATTAGAATTTTCCCCTGCTAGATGCTAACCATGGATGTACTAACACAGTATTTGTTGACATCTCTCAAGAAGAGAGTCAATTGAGGATATGGCATGAAATCAAATGGTTTCGCCGGGGAAAAAATATATATTAATCATTATTGAAGTTATGTGTACAACATCCTGTCATCATGAAACTAATTGTAATTGACAAAATTGTAATGAGGCAGTATAAATCAAACTCAACCAAAACTTGCCCCTAATGGTACATTGTACAAAATGTTACAATTGTAGAAGATCTCATACAATGTCTAGCAATTCTTTTTTCAACAGTCGATGACCCAACAAAAAACCAAGAACATCAGACCTTACGAGCTCGTGTCCTCTGCTTTGTTCCATGCTGTACTATTTTTTCCTCCACATGAAGGCCCTTACGGCGTCTGACTGCATTAACTAACTTTCTTGCTGTATTAGGAAGCACGCTGGAGCCGTCTCCAAACTCTTCTATTTCCTCTTCAGTTTTAGGTACAAAGAAAGGGTCCTCATTAAGTGCTTCCCAGTGACTGAGTACAAGAAGCACACTAGCAGCTCCAGAAGTCCACCTCCTAAGCTCATCAGCAAAACCGAAACTTTCGGAAACAGGCAAATATGCATGCACAGTGAAGAAAGGGGAACCTTCCTGCATCTCTTCCTTTAGAACTCTGGCCCGTCTTCGGGCAAGTACAGCATACATGGGACCCAAATATTCAGTAGGGGTATTCAACTCACAAAAGTACATTGCTTCCACAAGCCGTGGCCTATTCTGAAGCACAGCTGCTCTACAAGCATCTTTCACAGTTGTGATTATTTGTCCAGCAAATATGCCATATTGCTCAGATTGTTGGTGTGCTTCAGGTTCATCATTCTGCCCTAAATGGGGATAAATGTATGCCTCAATGACAAATGCCAAACCCCACATAGGTTCATCACATAAGGGTCCAGCTGCAGTGGCCAGTTGGAATCCAGATATGACACTACTCTCAAGACGCTTAGCCTCCATGTCTAATGCTTCATTCACATTTGAGGGTGTCTCAGCCTCTGCATTAGAAGTACTAGAATCATCAGCAAAACCCACTCTTTCAGACACATGACAATCACCACTTATTAGAATAGAGCCGTCACTACTCTCAGCTTTGACGTCAGGAGTGAAGAGAATGTTGGGACCAATTTGCCTAGGTCCAAGTGCCCATATCCTTCTCAAAAGTTTTAACCACTTTGTCTTGCATTTGTCAACATAATCCTCGTCATTCTCATTCTTGCTCAAAATTTCACTCTCCAAAGCATCCATTATGCGTTTTTTTAGCAGTGCAGTTGGATTATCAATTTCATGAATACCTGACCTCTGAGAATCCAAATTTTTAACAGGATGGCCAGACTTTATTCCAATGACATCCCCCAATACATCAGAACTATCATCAAGTACCTTTGTTAGAGAAGATGGAAGTTTCATCACATGCACACGTACAACACATCTACCATTTGGTGTTGTTTTTTCAACATAATCTGAGTTCTTACTAAGAGCTTTCAAATTTTCAAGCATGCTAGACACTTCTCCTTCAATGGTCTCTTTGTAAGACACAAGAGGTGGAGAGACTTCTAAGCTTACCTTAGCAAATCTTTCCTTTAAATCTTTTACACATCTTTCAAGATGAACTTCTCCTGCTGCAGCTAAGACATGTTCCCCTCTTGCAGATACAGTGACCTCAACAAATGGGTCTGCTCTATTTAGAAGCCTCAAGCCTTTCAATAATGCACTGATTTCCGCAGGGTCAGATGGCTCAATTGCAACTCTTAAAGTTGGGGCAACCTGGAAAGCCATGCCAGAGAAAGGCCAACAATTCTTGCTAGATGAGAGCGTAGCACTTTTCAGGATATGTTGGCCAAGGCCTCGAATAGCAACAATATTTCCTGCTTTAGCAGACGTCACTACTTTCAAGCCTTGGCCCATCATTAGATACAAAGATTGTAGTTCAGCCTCTTGAACATGCTTTTGCATTTGTTCCCCTTTTAGCGGATCATACAAAGCTGAAAGGACAAAAACTTTCTGTCTTGCAGACAAAGTTCCACTAAATATCCTAGCAAATGCCAAGAAACACTCATCAGATTCACCCTCTCCATCACCAGAATAGTTCACGACCTCCGTGTATGAACCCCTATCAGGAAGCATTTTAATTGGCACGGCAAACATTTTCGAGACAAAAGCAACACATGGAGCTTCAGGTTTCCAATCACATTCCTCCACTGATTTTCTAACAAGCTCTGCCTCAGCAAGCACATTCTGATCAACCCCATTATCAAGAACCTCTCTCTTTGGGAGAAGACGTGAGATACGAAACGACTGGGCAGATGCTGGATCTGGCATACACTTTACCACCATTGATAAGATTGTATCTGAAAGAGGAAGCCACCGACTCATAACAGCTTGAAGCACAAGCTTAGGGTCTTTATTTTGCAATTCACGAGATGGTATAGACAAATTGAATGACTTAATGACTTTCTCAAGCATTCCTTTGTCACCATCACCCTCTAGAGCTCCCTGGTATACCTGCCATAGTGGTTCAAGAACAAATTGGACAAACATTGGCCTCGCCTTACTTCCCCCACCTACACCTTTCTTACCAACAATCATTTTAGTTTTGGAATTGAAATACCGAGGACCCCACAAGGCTTTTTGCAATGCGGTAACACTAGCCCCCAATTTTGAAGCATAAAATTCAGCAAACTCATGAACTCTGAATCCCCAACCATCTAGTGCGCACACAAATCCCACATTCCCTTTCTGCGGTTGAAACATATCTTCATCGTCATCTTCTATGAGGTCAATGTTTTCATCAACAGTCACATCGCCTGAAGGTCCTGCAAGTATGGAATCTACATCTGACAAATATTTCTCAGACTTATATGTACTAATTATCCCATTGACCTCATGCACAATCCGTAATAACCGAATATAGGCTTCCATGGGACTTAACTTCAATTCACTAATCAACCTATCAATCTTGTTAAGAACCAAGCATGGTGAGAGCTTCTCAATCCAACACTGCCGCAACACAGCGTGGGTTTGAATATGCACGCCTTCAACAGCATCAACCAAAATTAATGCACCATCACTTAATCTAGCAGCTGTGGACACCTCACTACAAAAGTCCATATGACCAGGGGAATCTATGAGGTTAATAGAGTAGTCTTTATAATGAAGAGCAATGGAAGAGCTCTTCATGGTGATGGCCCTCCTTTGTTCCTCATCAAGATAGTCCATGAACCTAATTCGTCCAGCCAATTTTGGATGAAGTAGGCCACCCCCTGAAGCAGCAATCAAATGATCAGCCAGTGTAGTCTTTCCATGATCAACATGTGCCAATATACATATGTTTCTGATTTTCCCGGTATCAAAATCATCCTCCATTCTGCACAACTTTTGCATTCAAGCCTGTTATTGAAAGTACAAATAGAAAGAGAAAGATGAATAAACAGAAAAAGATATGAGCAATATATACACTTACAATCTGCGTTAAAACAGAACAAGACGTAAGAAAGAAATAAAGTTGTGTTCAATGAACCTCCAGCATCTAAAATACCTGTTGTATAATTTTTTGGTCATTTTGTATTATCATGTAACTTAAACAGTATGTTTTGGCTATATCAGTTTTGAGCTTGTTCACTCCATTGACAGCGTTCCTTCACCCCAAGTCAAATATTTGGAGTCAATTAAACCGATTTATTTGATCTTTTATAGTTACTTATCAGAACTTCCTCCATTCCGGTCTAACAACTCATAATCACAGTGAACCAGATAAAATGCATAACAGCTTGAAATCATACATTCATGGCTGTCATCAATATTCTCAAAAGAACACCCTGAGCCCAAGTCATACCAACCATTATTTGTTACTGAACAGTAGAATAGAGGATGACACAGTGCATAATAAATTCCCATCTCTAGCAAAATTTTAGTTTGCAGATAGGCAAGGGAAATGAAGAACAAGGAAGACTATATAAACATTTAAGATTACAAAAGTCTCTTACCCCCTTCAATAGTAGAATGGACAGGAAGTCACGCAGATGGAAAGGGACAAACTCTTCTCTGACAAAGGGTTTTCAGGCTCCAAAATGGTCAAAAGTGCCTCTGGTACAAGAATCAAAAGGCATCAATAAAGGAGGAATGAAAATACAATGCAAATGGATTTGAAGCTCTTACGGGCCTGACACCTGACTGGACATCCTCTGGGTTCAGAATTTGAACCCACTGCCCCCATCCAACCAGGGATAACCCAGCATATGATCGGGCCGGGTTATCATGCACAGGTTTGGCCAGTTTCCGTCCAACAGCAAAATGACAAGACACAAAATTAAGAACCACGAGAATCAAATGCTTATTGGCTAGAAAATCATGCATTTCACTAGTTGTCTTTTTTTACAAGAACCAATTATTCAGTTCATCATGTCAACAATGTCATAATACTGACTTCCCTTACACAGCTAGCCCACTATCAGATAAGAGACAAAATGCATCTTTAGCAATTACACTATTCATATCATTATAGGCACATACAAGCATCACATCACTTTCACATGGTAAAGAAAAAAAAGACATCAATCATCATCCAGAAAGTCCTAATAATCAGCAAGTAAACTACTCAGGAGTTCTGTTACAAAATGCAGCTAAGTTCATGAATCACATACAAATCGTCAATAATGGTAATTAAAAAAAAAATTGCATATTTAGGGATAAAACTGTAATTTCTCCTTAAGGTTTTCTGTAGGACAAAATAGGCTCAATTTAATAAAAACTATTGGTAAGACATTAAGAAATGCACAAGCAAAGTGAAATTAAAATGAGACGTTCTTAACTGGTAAGATGAATGATATACTGCATGACACTATCTTAAGCACAGTTGAATGTAAGAAATATGTTTATATATATGCAAGGAATATATATTTATAGCCATAAGTAAGTCTTGACCAAATTAGGCAGCATAAACTGAATTATCTTTTGGGTTTCATAAGTTGTTTTCCTATTCCTCTCCCACATTTGGTCATACTAAACAATTTTAAATTACCAAAGGATCAGTTATTTCAACTGCCACTGCCAAGTATCAATCCATGTAAATAATCATATCAACACAGACTATGCTAATTTCAAAAACATCCCCTGATTTTTCACATTGATTTTCACTTAAGGACTGTCATTCTCAAGAAGCCATAACATTATCCTAACATAAAAAGAGTGCACATGAAAAGCCAACACAAATATATTGGTCTGAAATATTTGTAAAAAACGACAAATCTGCCAAAGCATAAAAAGAGCCCTTAATATGTACCTGACTTTGATGAGCAAGAACAGATTGGACAGGCTTGCCGATTGATGGAGTCTGAAGATCCCATATAAGCAAGTATTGATCATCACCAACAGAGCCAAATAAGTATTCATGCCTGAAATGCCATGCTACATCAACGCCCTCATGAACCTGGTACAAATCAATAAGCCACTGAGTTTACAAGATAGATTGTGCAGTAGAATTAGAGAATAAGGAAAATGATTTATTTACGATTTATGTTCACAGAAGGTTTAAATACAGTACAAGGAAAATGCCTAGTATAATATTAATATGCACCGGACTCTTTTGTAACAAATTAAGGCATATAGATGGAATTAACATAAACTAATCCATTCGGTAAGCAAATATCTTTAGATATTTAGGTTCAAGTTAGCTCTTCCATAAGCCTCGTCAAACAAAACACATCAAATGCGTCTTCCAAGATTGAGTGGCTTAGAACCCCCTCCTACATATATATACTTATATATCCTATATGTACACACAATTTAAAATCAGATATCACAGTACAAGTCAAAATTGTGTTTTTCATCCCCCATCAACATGGCAAGGTCGTATCTTATTAGTAAGGGATAAAAACACTCACATTTTAAAATTTGAGTTGGTTGGGAAAAGGTAGTTAAAAAGGCACACCCCTTCGTGGAGGGTAGGGGTAGCTCCTTGAGGCCAGAAGTGCTATAAGGTCACTTGCATGAGTGAAGTAAAGTGCATTTAATTTAGGAAAAAAAGAAGAGAATGATATATAATGAATTAAGCAAATCCAATCATATAGCATATTTTGGATTTTGGCGTGTACAACCGTCCAGGGAGTCTGATAAATAGGGTCTGGAAAGGTAAGAGATAATTCCTCCTGTTAATAGCCAAACAACATTATTTTCTGCTTTTTCATAGTAAAAGAACAGCTTATTAAAATAGGCGATGAGTCACCAAAAGGAAGAAGAAAATGAAAACTATGCAATATATTCATAAAGTAACATTCACTCATTCAGACAAAGAAAAAAGCAGATAATTGAAAATATTTACGCAGGGTGTGAGAAGAGAAAATGGCATGTCAGAATCATCAATTCATCAATCATCATGCATGCTTCAATCAGTCATCAAATCACAAAATAAAGAAAGAAAGAAATTAAAACACTTGAGTAAAAGAAACTAAGAAACCAAAATCACCAAAGAAAGATACTAAAAGAGACAAGCCACAATCAGTCACCAAATAGCAATAGCACGGGTAACTGAAGCTTACAAAAGGAAGAAATCACAGACCGTAAGTGAAGAGACGAAGTCGAGACGAGAGACGGAGACGAGAGAGACCGAGTGAATTAGCGAGCACTGAGCAGTGTTCGCCTGCGGCCTTTTCGACTTTGAATTCGCACTTCGCAGATGAGAGATCAGCGAGACAAAGACGGAGTTGCGGAGTCAGAGAGACCTTCGCGACAGAGACAGTAAGCGGTGCCGTATTAGGGCTTTTGAAAAGTAACTCCTTTTAAAATCATAACGACATATGGACAAACCTCGATGATTCTCGTTCTGAGACTAACTTCCATCCATTCTTGACTGTTCAATATTAGTGAAAGTTAGAGCCCACTTTAATCCCATTATATCCCTCCAATCCAATGCAATGAGAATATAATGTAATATCAATTACACAATCCTCTTATAATTCTATTTATAAGTAACTTTTAACATGTTTTATATTAAGAAAAACTTTAAATTTTATTAACTCTAATTTAAAATTCAATAACTTTTCAATAGTATCCTTAATTAATATAGATTATACTTGTATAAATAAAATTAATACAATAATAATTATTTAAATTGAATAAATAGCAAAAGATAATTTTATCCTTACAATGGCAACAACACGCTCTCTCTAGACGAGAAGAGACAATGAAGACGTTTCTTGTTTTCACTGCATTACTGTACTACTTCCTCGCTCCTCCTAATGGAAAATAAAAACTCTCTAATGCAACACTAAAAAACGTACAAATCAAGAAGTTTGGGTGCTCATATATGAAGAGGTGGAAGTACAAGGGACCATGGAGATGGGTCGTAAGTTCTCCTTGTCTTCAGATTTGAAGAGGGCGACATTGGTGATGCTCAGGCTCACAAAAAATTAGGATGGAGGAGATCTCTTGTGTGAACAATGGTGGACATGGTGCTTAGACCTAAAGAAATGCGATAGGTGTGAATGACGAGAAAGTTTGTTGAGGATGGAGGTGGGGTCACGGGTTTTGGTAGTGCTCAAATTCACTCAGGAGAAAGGTTAACTGCAGAGAATGAAGACCAGACGTTACGTTGCCGACAATGGTACCTTTTGTGTTTGTCTCATCGTCCGTCAAAAAGCCACATCTTGTGAGTCTCGATGTGCTTCTGTAAATATGGGTTGAGGGTTTGATGGTGGTGGAGCAGGAGAAGGTGGAGGGGCAGGAAGGGGCATCGCTAGTGGTGAGGGTGGTGGTGATGTTAACGGCGGGTGAATTCCATGGAGGGCGAAAATTGACAGACAAAGGTGGGAAAATGCACAAGTAGATGGGGGGTATTTTTGGCATAAGGCAATGGTAATGAAGATTCACAGTTTCATCTATGACACTCTAATAGTTGGAAAGGATGGTTGGCAGTGAAGGTGGATCTTGAGAAAGCATATGACAGATTGGAGTGGAGTTTCATCTATGACACTGTGATAGCTGCAGGTTACCAAACTTCTGTGTAACTGTTATCATGACTTGTATTGCAAGTCCCTCATTTAGAGTTCTTTTGAACGGAGACCCCACGGAACAATTTAAAGCCTCAAGGGGTATTAAGCAAGGGGATCCTATCTCTCCCTACATTTTTACCTTCTGTATAGAGCGACTCAACCATCTAATCAGAGATTAAGTGGGTGAAGGAGAGTGAACACCAATACAGATCAATAGAAGAGGGCAACTTTTATATCATCTGTTCTTTGTCGATGATCTAGTCTTGTTTGGTGAAGCTTCTAAGACACAGATTGAGGTGATGATGAAATGCTTAGACAAATTTTGTGAAGCATTGGGACAAAAGGCAAATAAAGGCAAAACAAAAATTTGTTTTCTGAAAATATCCATTTCTCTAGAGCACTATCTATGAGTTAGAAGATGGGAGTTGGACTAACCGGAGAAATAGGGAAATATCTAGGCATACCTCTCATATACCAGAGAGCCTCTTACAATATGTTTACTCCAATTCTGGAAAAAACAAACAAGAAACTAGGGGGTTGGAAGAGGAAGCTTTTGAACTTGGTAGGAAGGGTGACTCTGATGAAATATGTGATAACAGCACTACCATCTTATCATATGTAAACAATACTCCTACCCAAAAAACTGTTAGGGAAATCGAGAAGAAAAGCAGGCAATTCTTTTAGGGAGGCAATGATGATGAAAGAAAGATGCACCTTGTCTCCTAGGATGTGATCACAATAAAGAAACAGAATGGAGGCTTTGGTATGAAGGATCTACATAAACAGAATAAAGCTTTCATAATGAAATTGTGTTGGGGTATGATTTGCAGATGTGATGCATTTTGGGTACATGTCCTCCATGTAAATTATAAATGTGGGGAGGAAGAGGTGCCCCGAGTTAGAAGGAAGGTTAATTCATCCGTGACTTGGAGAAGCATTTGTAGTGTTTGGGACCATTTCACTATTGCTTTGGGCAAGAAAATAAGAAATAGAAAAGAGTCATCCTTTTGGTTCGACAACTGGTCAAAGATAAACGTTCCCTTAATTGAACTTGTTTCAGGAGCTAAGGGTTTGATTGATACCAATGAAAGAGTTAATGACTATGTGATACATAATGGAGAATGGAATAAGGAGAAGATGAAAGTTTGGTTTCAACCAAATATTGTTGACCGTATCACCTGTGTGCATCCACCTCGTGAGGAGAGAGGAGAGGATAAACACTTTTGGAAGCCGGCCCCTAATGGCCGGTTTTCTGTTAAATCTGCATACTCTTTTCTTTTTTCAGGTACCACAAGGAGGGAGGATAGCATATGGAAGAGGCTATGGTGTTGGCAGGTACTAGAGAAGATCAAATCTTTCATGTGGTTCTTTTGTCATGACAAGATTCACATAGGCCAACTGAGGAGAAGAAGGGGAATTATGGACTTAACATCATGCCTGTTTGGTTGTGAAGAGGAAGAGAACACAATGCATTTACTATGAGATTGTGTAAATTCAAGGGAGAGATGGAAATCAGTTTTGCAACCCCATATGTGGGGAGAGTTCTTTTCCTTACAAGGTACATAATGGCTGAAGTGGAACCTACAGAAAGAAGCCGGAAAGGACTTTACGCAGAAAGTCCATTGGCACAATCTGATTGGGAAAGTCCATTGGGACAATCTGTTTGGATATCTCTGTGGGGATATCTAGTTGTCAAGGTGCTAGAAATTGTTCGGGGAAGCTGTTAATTCAGAGTATTTAACGGCTGAATCAAGCTTCTTTAGAGCTTGCTCAGACTATGACCTCCGCAAAAGTTGTGAGAGACTGAATGACAAACACCCTAGGGGGCTAGACTACCAAGATACACTGGAAGATTTTATCAAGCTAGAGGTTGATGACTTGGTTTTAGAAAAAGGTAAGAGTTGATGTGGAGGAGTAATCAGAAGCAAGGGTAGGGATTGGATCATGGGATTTAGCTGTAAACTCTCTAAAGTTTTCTCAATCATTGCAGAACTCATTGGTATCACTTGGGGATTTTATCTCAGTTGGGCTAGGGGATTCAGAAAGGTCCACCTCATGTCTAATTATTTGGAGGCACTTAATCTTGAGACTAGGGTTTGTGATAGAAGTCACCCTTTTTATGATGTGGTAGAAGAGAATAGAGTGCTACTATGCAAGAATTGGCAAGTAGTTGTTAACTATTAAGACCGAGAGGAGATGTCCAGTGCAAATCAATTGGCTAAACTAGCCTATGGGATGTTAGGAAGCTACAAAATCTTTGATCAACCACCATGTCTAAACCTGCAGGGAGATGGGGGATGATGAGAGGGCTATCTTAATCTGAAGCTGTTAGCCTTCATTTTGATTTTGTGTATTTTGTAATTAATATCTTGAATTCAGTTTCTTTCAACAAAAAAAAAAAAAGAAGATTCATAGTGGGGATCCTATGCATCCTCATTGCTTCTCCTTCATCTTTCTTTATAAGCAATAACCATCATCTCTTTTTTATTCCTAAATATAAACAATATTTATAAGTTATCTTAAATTTTTGAAGCAAATTTTCTAGTTTGTCCCCATTAATTATTTATTCTAATATTTAATATATTTATTATCTCATTTCCCAAACCATCATCTTTCTCTATTACACATTCTCTCTCTTTCATAATTCTCTTTATTATAATAATTTTCTTATTCTCTTTCTTTATATAAGGGTATTTTAGAGAAAAAAATTTCTATTTTTTTCCAATTTATTATCTTTAATTAACTTTTTAATTTATGTAATGATGTCCTATATTACTTATAATAAGGGACAGAGGGAATATTTTTTTGGTAATCATGATTACCGTTACCAATATCAAATGTCAACCAAAACGCACACTTATATGGCAATGGGATCTAAATTGCCATTCATTACCATTACAACTCTGTAATGCGGTTGAACCAAACGGGCCTTAATCTCTTGTGGTACGATTCTAATTTCAAATTTGTTTAAGCTGGAAATATATAATTACTAATTAAATATTACTACACCCAGTTAACTAAATTGGGAGAATAAGAAAATATTCAAAGTATTTTAAAATATTTGTATTGATATTTTTTTAAATTAATTTGTCTCGTTTATAAATTGACATATAATTTAATAATATATAAGTATTTTAGAAAGATTATATAATGTATATTATAATTTAGTAACTTTTTTAACATCTCCAAATTAATCAACCGTATTTTACATTAAGGTTCAGATAATAGTTTCCATCCAAAGGATTTAGATCTTCTGAAGTTATGAAATTTACAGAAAATCATGAGGTGAAAAGTAACAAGCGAAGCCAACAATTGAGACTTATTTTGAAGCGTATTTCTTGGTCCTATATATAGGAGGACCCTTTGATTGACTGTTGAACGGGAATTGAGAAATTTAATTAATTTAGGTAATTGAATTAGATTTGTCAACAGTTTGTTTTAATTTTTCTTTACATTCTTTACTTTTTGGAAGGAATTGATATGGCCATCTTTGTGGGAGTATTCAGCTAACCTCTTGAATCAAGCTCCCACAACCGCAAAAGAGACACCCCACGAGACGGCTAACCAACCAGTGAATGATTAAAATCATCTTGCAATTATGTGATTGAATTTGCATATTCATTCGTTCTAACCCTCAACTGATACTCTTTTAATTTTATTTATAAGTATTTTCAGCATTTTTCATATAGATTAAGAAAAACTTTAAAATGCATTAATCCTTCATTAAAATATAATAACTTTTTAATTTTACTCATATTTAAT